AGTGATGACCTCCTTTTCTTTACATATGTCTCCGTCTCATTCAGAATCGCTACTGCATGGGTCGTACGAACTAGGAAGTGCACTACTACTCGTACTGGAACTGGCGGCCATGTTTTACAACACGTGTCACTGACTCCGTTTATGCTCAGTATTCTTCCTATTATTCCCATATTATGCCCGGTGCCCCGCTGGCCCCATTATTCCCATTATTATGCCGGCATATTCGGCGCACCCCTACACCCTTGTAGCATGTGTAATGCACATGTGCAGCGAGAATGATGGTTGTAATTGACTTACAGTCAAACGAGAACCGTACCCTTTGGTACATCACACAGCCTGTGCTTCTCTTTCCTTCCCTCCCATACATACACACCTTCTAAGACACTGGTACAGGTAGAAGAAGTCTGAGGTTGAAGAAAGGACCGAAGAGACAGCCATTCCGAAAGTGAAATCCTGCCAACTCATCTACTAATGCACACTTTACTGATTTTCGTTCACTGGAATGTAAAAATGATCTTATTGTTAATTGTACATGGTGATGTTACCAGCGTTTTCCGCATTGTGCATTTGTTGAGGCACTTGAACTTCATGTTATCAAGACGCATCCGTTATCTATATAGCTCTGCTAGGATTCAAACTCTACCATTAAGCAGTGTAACCTGTGGTGCTTCGCATGCACATGCGTACACCCCAAAACATTCGCGCAGCAAGAGTCCGCTAGCCGCGGTTGAAAAGAATCTTGCATAACAGCAGTGGCTAAACTTCTAAACTAAAATTATAATACTCAATGAGAAATCAGTTGAGTTGTGTAGATTCGGAGTAGCCCAGAATTCAATAATGTTCGCCAGGCTCCCCGTCGTGCTGCTTGGCGTGAATGTCAATCAATTGCTGTTCTTTCGTCTCCACCGACATTTTCTTTTATGAGCGGTGGTAGTGTTGATTATTTTTAATGACGGGTGAACAGACAGACAGACAGACAAACGTAACCCTCACGGTGCATGCGTGCCGAGGGTTAACAAAGCTAGCAACAAACCACACACCGTGCGAACTAGCCACTAACCGCAAAATTAGGTACCTTAATTCTCGGACATTGTATAAGAGCACTGCTGGCCAGTGGACTATATACAGGGTAGTAGGAAACCAATGGGAATACCTGCTACCCACTTCCATGTACTAACCGTGTCTATAGTGCTAAGCTTCACCTCAAACAGGAGCAACATATCGAATGCCCAAAATCCTTTTTTCACGTATCCCTCGACGCGCATGCGCAGCGAAGGTTACGGTACTTGGTTTGTGTCCGTCTGTCTGTCCTGTGTCTGTTTCCACGACTACGTGCAACGAGACAACAAAACAGCGATACCAACGGGTTCATTGGCTTCGTTTTAAAAGGCGATTTTCGTATAAGTACGTACTCCGTTCCATCAATTAGTGGTACTGCACGTGTTTCGCAAGATAATTTTTTGAAGATATATTATTATGGACAATAAGATAATGATTATTTAATCCCCTGCTTCAGAACATCAATTAGCTACATTACACATTTAGTTATTAATGTGTAACGTAAATGCTCTCCTGAATCAGGGGATTTTAGGTCAGACCATGCTGTTTAGTGAGCTCAAGTAGGATTAATATTATATCCAGCCTGAATACCGAAAGAAAGGAAAGAACATAGCTATCCAGGTCTGTTTGGAAAGTGGCCGAGTTTAGAGTTCAATGTGCTTGAGTTTGAGCCGAGGGTTTGGTAAGTGAGTGACTTTTATTTGGAGTTAATAAAAAGAAACCATTAAAAGAGACATAACACACATAACTTAATAATTCTCCTCAAACAATCTCGTACTGTGCCTCCTCCTCCTGCCCCTTCTCATCCAGGGAGGGTGATAGGACTGGAGCTGTGTAAATTTCATCCATTTCCATCCCATCACAAGAATCCGCTAGTTTCCTCAGGGCCATGCCTGTTTCTGCCTTTATTACCCCATAACCAGAGGTCTCAATTCCGATACCATTCACTTCGTTGGTTGAGATTACTATAGTATCCTTCTGTCTTTCTCTGGTGCCATTTCTGTGGAAAGGTAAAATGCACAGTGAAGAGAGTTAGTGAGTGCTGGTGAGTCTTGAGTAGTACAACTATTACAGTGATAGCAACTGCAACAACAATTAAAACTATGACCATCCCTGCAACAGCAATAGCAGCAGTATTGCCTGACCCAGAAGCAGATTCTGTGAAAAGTGTAATATTTTATACTGATATATCACTATGCTATTAGGTTTACCTGTAACAGTTATGTGCTGCTGTTGACTTTGTCCTAAGCTGCTGGTAGTGATGTAGGGAGAGGAGGAGGCAGCAGACACTTCACAGTAGTACAGTCCAGAGTCAGTGAGTAGCAGGGGACTGAGAGTCAGTGTTGAAATGAATGGAGACCTATCACTAGTGGGAGGAGACAGAGTGACTCGCTCATTGCTGATGTCTGCTGTCCAGTTTATGGTGATGTTGACATCAGTATCCACCCAGGGAGGTAGTGTGGCAGTGCAGGTCAAGATGAGGGAGGTCCCCTCATTCAGTGCACCACTGGAAACACTCACAGTCACAGTTGGAGCTGGCACTGCATTGTAATGTATTAGGTGATAAACCACTCGGAGTGACCTATTTCTTGTAGTATGAATTAAAATAATCAGTCACGGCTAGCTATAACACTTATTTTTTTTATAAGGTAGTGATTAGTTTAAAGCCGATGGTTTGAGAGCCTCTAGTATTATATAAACTCTACAGACTCTTCATTGAATGTTCTTTCACACATTGCTGTCAGTATTATGTTTAAGGATTAGGAATAACCTACGTCTGACAACTACGTCCACAGGTGAAGAGGCAGCAATGACCTCTGCTGCTGCTAGTAGAACTCTCCCCCGACACGTGTACTCCCCAGCATGAGATGTTCGAAGTGTTGAGAAAGAAAGGAGAGATATTGAGGTTGTAGCATTCCTAACATTCTTGGCGCGGTTGATATCCTCCACTGGGAACACTGGAGTGGAGCCACTCCACCACTCAGCCGAAGGGAACCTAGCAGTCCCTGAGGTGCCATCTCTGACTATGCAGGTCAGAGAGAGGCCCATAGACCCATCCTCTGTCACTCCAGCATCTGACACTCTTGTTTCCACCAGCAAAATATCTGGTATAATACATAGTTGAAACACAATAAATATTATTATAATTTGGATTTTTATATAATATGGGTATAATCACACAGTGCTTTACATTAGAATACCATTGTCACGGGGTTGTCACAATTTGTCCAGAGGCTTGGTCTAAACTGATCCTACTGTTGAGAGATGGTATTCGCTCCAAGTTGAATATTAGGCGTTTGTCTTCTTCATTGGTTAGGTTGCTATCTATGTCAACATAAACACAGCTTCTTGTCTCACAGATATCAAATGATAACATGACCCGGGCTGCAAAGGGACAAAATTAGAGTAGCTAGCAAGTACATTGGCATGCTTGGTGTAGCTACGAGTGTGATTTTGCAATGATCACTTTTGAGAGCCTTTATTAAAAGTAGAACGAAACAATGGCCAAGAATACATCTACTTTTTAAAAAGGCTCTCAAAAAGCGGAATATCATTTTAGGGTAGATATAGAGATGGATTGAAACAAAAACAAACTAGAATGAAAAGTACCAAAGTTCAAACCATCGGCAAACTGCCAATAGGACTTTGCTCTGCGGTAGTAGTGAGGGAGTTCTCAGCATCCATGGCGAACTGTAAGGTAAATGGGGGTAACTTCGGACACTGGGTACATAACACTCGCTATTAAAAACAAGAGAGAGATTTTCACTTGATTACTACCTACCAAAGCGGTAACAAATCTTCCTCGCACTTTGCGCAGCGAATAATTTCGAGGCCGTTCGTGTGGCGCGGTTGGGCGCATGCGCGTCATTTAGGATATGACGTCATTTTATTCGCATAAATACCGCAGTCAGCGTGCTCGGAGCTACAAAACAATCTTCGGACAGACGTCGCGGTCTTCGTGGCGGAAGGGGACGCCCGAGCTGGAGCCGAAGACGCGAGCGTCGCGCTGGCGTCCGATGCTCGAGAACTTCGGGGTATATTGGAGATGGCCCTAGAGGAGCCGGAACTCGTGCGTGCGAGCTGACGTTGGAGCAGGTGCAGCGGGTCGCGGCAGAGGAGCGGGCTTGGAGAAAACTTCGCCTAACGCTCAGCGGGTGGCCGGGGCAGCGAAGGGAGAGGGCGAGAAACAGAGGTGCAAAGGAGACAGCGACCGTGACTGGTACCGAATTGAACGCGACCAGGACTCGGCCATGATCCGCTGATCTCCGCTCACAGCTGGAGGACCGCGAGCGTTCTACTGACGCGACGGCGCAGGTGAGTTGCGGGAGTTTTACTGGGAGAGTGACTTGAACTGGCGCTACGTTTCATAGTGTGTTAGCAGCGAGGGAGCAGTTGGGGAAGAAGGTTATAGCCTGTGGTAGGTGTGGGGTGAGCACTGTTGGCAGTGCTAGCGTTCTGGGCTACTAAAGCCCGCCCTATTCCTTATCGCTGATACCGCTAATTGTGTTAGTGGCGCGGCTAGGGGGCGCACCTGTTCCCCTTTGTGTGGTTGTTGAAAACGTGGGTGTTGTGAGTGGTGAACTTGCACAACTGTTGACCCAGTTACAAACCACTGACTGACAGGGGCTAAGTCCCTAAAGCCTTCCTCCTCTTCCTACTTTCTAGTCTTGAGTCAGCCTCTGAAAATCCCAAAGAAAGGCCCAGTTACCCAATACAGTGGGTCCCACTTAATATCATACCGTTTATAGATATCCCGTTTATAGTCCTACAAACCTGAAATCCAAAATCATATCCTACGCTTTCCCATACATTTTACTCTGTTTTACAATACGGATAATGTCATATCCCGCCTATTATCGTAGAAAAATTGAGCAATTCTGGTGTTTGCCCGCATATTTTTTTCAATCATCAACATACCCTGGGTTTACAGGAGTTGTAACACAACAAGCACCCAAAAAACAATGGAACATTGAGAGACATAGTCCGGGGTTTAGGTGAGAACGGCAAGTCTGGTGAGAGGCAAAGAAAGCCCTGTCGGCAGCACATCCCGCCATGACATCCAACAGATACCACCAGATACCAAGTGTTTCGTGTCTAGCAGGGCTGAAGTCACTCAAGTTGACTGCCTGTAACCTCATACCATTGTCATTATTGCGCATGCGTAATTATGCATTCTACAACCTTGGGCTCATTCTCCACCTGGCTTTCATTAGCTTATGTAAACAGCTAGGCTAGCCTAGCTTAGCTAAACAAACTGCATTGTACTCTATCTGGTTGGTATACACAGTATACGCGCCCACATTATAGAATATCCAGCATATTATCATATTTTTTGGATGCACCGCAGGTATGATATTAACCTGGACCCACTGTATATGAAAAACCGATAAACCTAGTCATTTGGAACCCAGGCAATGAAAAATCCCAACTTAGCCAGGGTAGTAGTTGGAGCGCTTGCGCGTCGTTATAGGATGTGATTTCACGTTATTCACATAAATACTGTGTAGTGTGTTAAGTTGAGATTTAGAGTTGTAGAAATCTATCGGAATTGTATGCTTCCTTGACAAGTTCTCACTCTCGCATGAAGTGAAGCAGAGTGCGGGCAGTGGCGTTACATCTCACTTGGTTTTCTGTCCCTCTTCCTAGTTCGGAGGAGGTACTGCTGACAAAGAGAGCGAGACAGCAGGTGCCAGAGTCGTCAGGGGACGAGGCCTACACCTGCCCTCCCATCCTCACAGAATCACCAGGCCCACCCCTCACACTTCACCAGGGAATGTGACGTCACCGTGGCCTCTCTTGTTCAAGAGTAAGTTTTTCTTTGAAACCTTGCTTGAAAATTGTATATGAATTAACTTTTAGAACTGACGAAGCCATGCAAGTCATGCCCTCTGAAGATGTATCTCAAGGTCCCATTCCAGTACCAGAAGCGGACCCTTCCTCGCAGCATGGAATGGAGACAGCCGACACAGAACGGGAATAGAGCGAAGGAGCTACAGGAGAGGGGGAGGTGGAAGGGGAGGAAGAGGTGATTTCGGTGTTCGTCGACAGCTAGGAGAGCCTCCAGCCGTCGACAAGTCAGGAACTTGTCCAACGGGTTTCGGAGCCGGTTCAGCAGGAAGCCTCGGTCGAAATGACGACATCGCTCTGCGGAGGCAGAGTGAGGCGGTGGGGAGGAGGATAGGGAGAGTGGGGGAAATGGAGAGGTTTTTGCTGAAGTTGACGAAGACTCGCTGAACCAGATTCAGAAACCAGTTGAACAGGTTTGTACATGTACAGTACATTCACCATTGCATTGATCGTTTTGGGAATATCAAGGCATTCAACGAAGCTCTTATAAAATTGTGTTGTAAATGGTATCACAATGCTTGAGACTTTCTATTCAGTTGTCCATTAATAGGGCTTACCTCAACTGTAGTGTGGTCTCTAATGTCTGCATTTGCGCGCACCTGCACATGCGTGAACGCCGTATACAATTTGCAAGTCTATGGTCAGATGAAGCTGCTACTTAGGGTGGTGGGCCTCCTTCCAAGGGTGGTGGACCTACCTCCCAGGGCGGAGGGCCTACTTCCAAGGGCGGAAGACCTGCGTACCAAATTCATGGATTGCAAATCACACACTCTAACAAAAATTGCAGCTAGAATATACAGTTCCATAGGTATGTTAAAAAGACAGGATAGCAGCTAAAGATCTGGAATCTTTAATGCCCGCCATCATAAATTGCCCCCAAAATACCCCCAAAAAGATGAAAGGGTATAATGAACGTTTAAAGCTGGATCTAAAATCACTTAGTATCATGCTATTGTTTTCAATTTTGTCCGGAAAGATTCAGACAAGTGTACGATCTGACCAATCAGAGCGCGTTATTCACGCAATTACCATAGGAACGAATGACGCAATCGTCTGATGCAATCGTCTACCGCGTGGCGCGCAGGCACAAGAGCGCCTTCTTCCAACGTGTCAGTTTACTTGAATCGTTTAGTTTCGGTCGAGATCGGCTTGTTTTCTGTGCAGAAATGTCGGATTCAGAGACTTCAACTCCTGCTGGGACGTCCCAGGGTACTCCTACTCGAGTGACGCAGTGGTCACGTAAGCGTGCGAAGCTCGAGCAGGTTGCGAGGATGCGATCGTGGCGATGGAAGCGAGCGCCGTCTCCTGCCGCCACATCCAGCCACTCAGAGACCTCTCTTCCCCCCGTTTCTTCCCCTGCTTCTACCGCCTCTCTCTCTTCTGTCCCTTCCGTCCCCGTGACTCCAACCACCCGTCCTTTGTCCCGTCAAACACCTCTCGCATCTGCAGAGTCACTGCCGGGTTTACACTCCCTCCACCTCGCCAGGTGTGCCTTGGTCGCGCAAGCGGCAGCTAAAGGAGGAAGCTGCAAGAATGCGACAAGAGACCAAGATTTTGGCCACAGGTCCGAGGAAGAGCCTCTTTCTGACACCTCCAGCAAAGACGATAACTCACCTCAAGAAATCTTTGATGATTGGATGGTGTCACTTCGACGTGACCAGCGCCAGATGCTCTCTGTCATTCTCATGGAGCACAGACTCAACCTTAACGTCAAGCAAGCGGCAACAGAGGCAGGATCAGTTGTGGGGTTCAATAAGAAGACAGTTCGTCGCTATCGTAATGAAAAGCACCGAAGTGCAAACCCTCGGCGAAGTCACTTTCACGCTTGCTATTCCAGCAGCTTTGTCAACTACAAATTAGTGGCTGGATATTCATTTCAAAGCTTTTGGTTAGGAACCGGCTCTACTCATTGAACACAGACCTGTAACTACCGCTGCGCATGCGTGCCGAGGTTAATATTGTCGGTTGTGTAAGCTAATGAAAAAAATTCATGAGAATTTGTAGGAAGCAGCTATGTAAGAGTCGGTTTGGTGTACGTGTGTGTAGTCAAGGGCGGGATATGTTTTTGATAACATTGAATTCGTTGCAGGTACAGCTGAATTGTGGAGCATAAAGTAAATCTTGGGCTGATATTTCTTTCTCCGTCTCAGTGATGGCATGTAGAGTTTCATCATATGCCCTTAGCAGATACTTCTTCATGGCGGTCTCCACGATCAGCCTGGCAATTTGCTTTGGTTGTGCAAGTTTTTGAGATGTCTCACAAGCATTGCACTCCCCTATGTAAGAATTGACTGGATGGACAGTTTTATTGCAGTAGATGCACGAGTATATTGTCTCTAACTGTTTAACCCCGTAATTACAGATTGGCTCAGACCACGA